TCTTGCTTTCTAATTGTTAGAAGTGAGGGGAGTGCTTGGCCACCCCACTCTGAACTTTCAATTTTATTTTATTTTATTTTTTTTCGATGCGCCGCATCACGTGCGGCGTATCTCATGCGCGTGCGCTTTGCGCCGCATGTGCCGCGCCCCCGCGCATGAGATGCGCCGCAAGTATGATGAAAAGTCATATTGGAAAGTCACATCCCACGGGCATAGTACACTTCACAGGCAAGAGTCGTGTCCCAGAGGCAGGAGTCACAAACCACAGTCAAAAGCCATGTGCCACAATCAAAAAGTCATGACTCAAAGGCCCAAGCAGCAACACACCAACGAAAATTCGGAAAAGGTACCAGGGTAACCAGGCCCTGACATTCGAAAGCAAACAGGCTGTGGGGATGTGGTACCGGAACCAAGTCAGAGGCTGGCACGAGTTGAAGCCCGGTCCAAGACAATATGAGGACTGGGCAGCCTCCTCACATGTCAGATTGCTCACTCGCATAAAGTGTGGAAGTGCTTGTGCACTTGTGCGCTATTGTGAGAGGCGGGGCGCTGAGCTAGGGAGCTGCGCTGTTAGAGGGAGAGAGAGGGAGCAGCCATAGCTGCCCAGCGCTGGCAGAGGGAAGGCAGCCATATCTGTGTCAGTGCTAGTAGTAGACCTCGGAGGGGTTAGTAGAATTAGCAGCGGGTGTATTCAGAGTTGGTCCTTTAGTAGTAGGTGTGAGTGCATGCAAGTAGGGAGAGAAGACACAGGGAGGTAGTAGACAGAGTGAAGATCGAGAGAGAAGGGCTTCGGGAGAGATACTTGCCTGAGTGGAGATACTGGATACTTGGGTTTGCGCTGTTGAGCGCCTGTTAACTCTTAATTTCTTGTATGATAATTTGTTGGAACTTTAAAACTGCGCTTACCTCGTCTTCGTTTCTTTGGCCTTAACTGTGAACTCTGTGTGAACTCATTCGTGCATGGTGTGTGATTGTGTGCACTCATTGGTGGTGAATTGAGAGGTTCATTGCAAACTGGTATCGGAGCAGAAGCTAGCTGCATCCACTGGATATTGCTGGCAATGATTAAGGCCGGCGAGAGAGAGAGAAGTGAGTGGAAAGAAGTCTGACGAAGGTGGGGGAAGGTAGGCTGAAGAAGAAGTGGCGTGTTGAGTGGGGATTACGTACTTGCTGCTGCGTAGGAGAGTTGGAGCGATCGTGGAGCTTCATCAACAGAACGTGCACTGAAGTGAAGTGCATCGCCCCTAAGTCTGTATTGCTTGCTGAGTTGTGTTGGTGATTGGTACCTCTCACATCCTGGTGTCGGTCGCTGCTGGCCAAGTAGTGTGACATATTCGATTTGCCTTGAGTCTAGCAACCAGTCCGCTCGTAAAATATATATGACGATATATATATATATGTATATTTTGTCACATAACTACAAACTACAAGAGCGCACTTTGCGAAACAAAGAATAAAAACAAAAAACGGGCACATTGCAAAAATAAAAACAAAAAGAAAAAGAAAAAGCAAGGGATTGTACACGCCTCTGACCATTTGGAGGTGTGGAACGACGGTGTCATGGTCCATGCCATGATTGATATTACTGATTTCTTACTCTATGATGCTGTTCTCTTGCCACATCAAACTGTCTGCAATCTCCTTTATGTCGAAGATCATTCCTCTGCCACCGCAGTGCAGCAGTACAATGTACACACACAATGTGACCTTCTCCTTTGTACAGCCACAGACACTGTTGCACTTGGGTGTACTCGCCATCATCTTTGTCACAATCACTACCATGAGATGGTTTCTGCATCCATGTGTGTACAGGATTGTCCCTCCGTTCCTGACTGCAGGCACCCTCCTCATCCGGACACTATATGTCCATTTTGTGGCCACGGACGCTATGCTGAATGCATGCTCTT